CCAGATCGCGCCTTTCACCTCGTCTCACCCCCAAATTCCCAGCTAGAAGCTGTGATGAGCCTCCCAGGGCTATTTAAGAACATAGAGAGACAACATTGTCTCAAGACGTCACAATTATATGCGCCATCCCCATACCATAAGCTTCCAGTGTATAATTTCTCATGCAAAAAATCACCGGCACCGAGCTCCAGTTAGAAGGAACAGCATATTACTGGAGATCTATCTAACACTGTGTTCGCGCGAAATCCCTCAAAGGATGGTCAAACTGGCAGACCGAATCACAACATCCTGACTCATAAACACTCCGATTAAGTAGGGTACTCGAGCACCGTGGTGATCCATACCAACTGAGAGTTTATTATTCTGATGAAACACATTTGTCTTGCCATCGGTTCATAAGTGGATTTTGGGAGTTTGACTCTGCAAAAAACAACATTGTCTTCATTTCCATTCCCTTTTAAGTTTCTGTTTCTTCTTCCTTGGGCTTTTTTCTAATGAAAACAATTGTGAAACCGCAGTACGTATATGCACACCACCCTAAATGGATGACATAAATACAAGCAATTCCGAATTTCACAATCCCTGCACTGAAGTGCCCTGTGCCCGTGACTTCAAGTGACACAAGAATGGTTACACTTCTGGAACGAGGCGAGTCAATAAGGTGGTTTCGTTGTGATTAGATGGCAACCGCAATCCAAGCACGTAATGTAGACTTCTCGAAACACCTTACTAATATAGCCCCAGTGTTTCAATAAGCACCAAAACCGACTCATTCACTTCAATATTGAAACGAGGCATAGGATCCTTATCTAACATTAGATTGAAAAAAAGCAACATCACAAGCCTTAACGCCAGTTTCGAAGAAAGATCAAGCCATGAGGCCTTGTTAATTTATTCAATCAAACAATAGCATACACGAGACAAAGCCTATCACATTACAGTAGTAAAAAGATTGGACATGGTGCCGCGTCATGACTGATTCGAATACACACATACACACATAGAATGAGGTCAGAATAAGCGCTTTTCATAACTAAAACGGAGAAGTAAGCCCAAATTTAGCGACATGTTTAATGGAGAATTCTTTAATTAAGTTTGACCTTGTCTTTTTAAAACATCTTAAATTCTTAAATTGCAGTCATTTAAAAAAGCAGGAGACGGTGATAACAACATCGAAGGGTAATAAGGAGTGAATTGCGCCCCACAACACGATGGCCTACCCATCAACAGCTGCGCCTATTTTGGGCAAGGTATATCTACAAACAGAGGCAGTGGTGGCATGTGAAAAAGGCCATAGACCTGAGACACCTGCACACGCCTATCATTAGGAAACATAAAATGAGGAAAAGAGCAAGGTAACGTACGAGTGGAGACCATGTACCGACCCTTCGATTTGTGCGGAAGGACTGCGGCGTTCAAAACGCAATTCTCCACTGATCATCTTCTCGCGTAGGATTCGAAGGGAGCGGGCTCCAATTTGTTGCATCCCGTGCTGCAGACCGACAGCAAGGTAAGGCACCAGTTGGTGGATGGAGCCACGATCCATAATAGCACCCGAAACGCCCTGTGCTACTTTGATTGAGTCGCCTTCCAAAAAGTAGCGATTTTGGCTCGACTGATTAGAGGACATGGCGTCGATGCTACCCATACCTGAAGCACACGAAAAACACGTTACTTATATGATTTTAGTAGCGTAAAATCAATGGAGAGAACAAAGCATGCCCTCAGTAAAATAGCATACAGAGCTACACATCAGCTAGCGTAAACATGACGGCTATTCTTTTTGAGGCCACTTTTAGCACCGAGAGATGAGCGTATTTCCAACATGCTGAAAATTCTTCGTCATCTATGAACTTTGGCATTAAATCGGCTTACAGACTGTTCCAGCTTGTTACGCATTCTGGCATAACGAAAATGTTAGGGTTAGCAACCGATCACGGCAGCTGAGCGCCGAACTTAAACACCGTGGAACGAGAGAATTTAGTCCGTGTGGTTCACAAAAGGATGCCTAACAAGAAAGCGTGGCTACAAACGAAACAACACTGAATATTAAATAGTCCAATTGTTCCGCATTGTAGTTCCACGGAACCACAGAATATGAATTGCCGACAGCAGCCAG